TGAATTCCTACTATCTTGATTAATGAAACTCTGTATTGTGTCTAATGTATTTTTTATTATTTTTTATTCTCTTTAATTGTTTGATAAATCTTCCATTCTTACATCTGGTAATCTGAGCAACTTCACTGAAGATAACTATACGTAATATAACAACTGTTGTTAATTTCCTATCATTTTGTTTTGAAATTCTGTATCAGTTTTAATGTTTTTGTGTTGTTTTGCTTTTATCTGTGTTGTTATTTTGTTTTCTTTTCTCTTTAAAATAAAAAAATTTTCTTTCTCTTAAGCTTTCAGAAGTTTAATTACGGGGCTGGGGATTTAGCTCAGCAGCACAGCGCCTGCCTGGCAAGTGCAATGTCATGAGTTCGATTCCCGGTACCGGGAAAAAAAAAAATTGGGGGGCTGGGGATTTAGCTCAGTGGCAAAGTGCCTGCCTGGCAAGCACAAGGTTGTGAGTTCGATTCCCTGTACCAGGGAAAAAGAAAACAAAACAAAACTGAAGTTTAATTACGATCTCTTGGGTGGATTTCTCTGTGCTTGTCTAGTTGGACATTTACTCAGCCCATCTTTTGGAGGAGATGAGCACCATGATCTTCCCACTCTGATCACCTCTTTCTCCTCTTTCCTTGGCTCACTTAGGAAATTCATTGCTTGGAAGGCCTCTGTGGCCTCTTCTGCATGGGACCTGGCCTCCCTTCAGCGCTGACCCACTGTGGGTCCACGTCACCCAGGTCAGCTTAGGTAGGAGCCAGTCCCAGGAGGGTGCTGAACCAGAAGCAGGGCCTTGGGGCTCAGGCCTCACCTGCTGACGGGTCAAGAAACAAAGGGCTGTTGTGATCACCTTGAGTCCAGTCTTACCAGCTTCCCCCGGCTGCTACAATGGTCCTCAACTTGCCAGCCCAGGAACACATATGGAAACGCACCCTGCAGCTCCCCTGCTTAGCAGCTATGTTCAAGAGCACTTGCTCTCCTGCAGATGCTTCTCCTGCAGATGCTTCTCCTGCAGATCGAGGGCACCAGCACAGTGGAGCTCTCTGTGACACTGTGTCTCAGCTGAGGACAGGGACGGTCCTTCTCCCAGGTTTCCAAGGGGACTGGCCCCAGCTGCCAGGAAGCCCTCCCCAGTGAGATATCCTGCTCTGTCCTTCCTCCTTCCTGCAGGGAGGCCTCTGGGCACAAACCAAGAGGTCCAGCCTTCAGAGCAGCTCCCAGAGTCCACTTTTCATGCTGCCTCCCTCATCAGAGCCCAGGGGACTGAGCAGAGGGAGCAGCCTGGACTGGGCTGCCAAGAGTGGGCTTGGGGGCTGACGCAGAGGAGAGCCCGCTGGGCTGCTGTCCCCTCACAGGCAGCTCCCGGACAAAGGCCCTTCTTCCCACTGAGCAGGCCAGGTACCCATCAGGGAAGAAAGGGGAACGTGGGAGGAGGTGGAGACCAGTGTTCACCCTCCAGAGAAAGCTACTTGCCCCACCCTAAGCAGCCCGCCCAGCCAAGATGGGAGGGCAGACACAGATGTGCATCCATGTCCTGTCCATGCTGTGTCTGCTACATGATGTGTATGTTACATGCTGTGTGCATTACCGCTGTGCATGCCATGAACTGAGGGCTACGTGCTATGTGTACATATTGCACACTGTGCATGTTACCTGTATGAAATGCTGCATGTCACATGCCATGCATACAACACACATCCTTTGCACATTGGGTGACACATGTGTCATGGAGCATATGTGTTACATGCATGTATGCCACAATTTATGCAGTTCCACGTGCTGTTCTAATGTATAGCCTGCATGTTGTACATTTTTCATGCTGTATGTCATATGCTAGACAAGATAGATACTACACATGTCATGTGATACATGTACAATGCTGTGTGTTACATTCTGTGTACCTTCCACACTATGTATGTGACATGCTATATATGATGTACTTTTTACATTATATGCTGTACATATTTTATGCTGTTGTGTGCAATACATGATCTGCAGCTTGTGTGACATACTCTACATATTGTACTCACTATATGTTTCATACACATTGTATTATGTCTTATGTATACACACTGCACACCTTACATTGTACTTGGAGCCACTATGTTCTACAATGCGTATACTCTATGTCATCGCCATACATGGTAAGTTGAGCGTGTCATGTGTTACCCAGGGACAGCTCTATGTATTACACACTGTACCATTATGTGTGACACAGCGCATGCTGTCTGCATTGCATGCATGCGTGTGGCTCCCTATGTGGGTGACATCTCCTCCTCATGGGCTGCCCTTTCTCCAGCTCCGCGTGCCCTCCTGACTCAGCCTCCATCCAGGGCCAGCCGCGAAGTCAGAGGTCACAGCCAGCATGGAGCTCGGGGTGGGCAGGGGTGCAATTAGCAGGGCACAGCCAGCAGCAAGGGCCCTCTGCGTTACATCCGTGTCAGCAGAATGGCCCCTAACTTGCTCACCCGTTCTCCTGTGCTGGCATGGGGCTGCCTTCAGTTTTTACCTCTGTATATTTAAAGTTGCTATTAAATTCTTTATGGAGACCTTTGTTGTGTGCTTGTTTTCCTCACCAGTACCAGGGATTGAAGCCAGGGAGTGCTGAGCTACATCTCCAGACCTATCATCTATCATCTGTCTATCTATCCATCTATCCATCTATCTATCTATCTATCATCTATCTCTATATCTTTCCATCTATCATCTGTCCCCAGCTCCTCCCTTGACTCTGTGAGTTTCCACTCATGTTGGGCAGCTCCCCTTGGCCATACCCCTCTGCAATGCCTCTCTGCCATGTGCCACCCTGCCGTGGAGCCCGCTGACCTTGGACTGAAACCTCTGCATACTGTGAGCCCAAATCAACATCTCCTCCTTGAAGCTGCGGGGGTCCAGTATTGTGTCTCAGCATGGAGCCAGTGACTAAGCCACCTTTCTTCTTCACCACGCTGCCACCCAGCCAGTAGCCCTCAGCAGGGACCCCTGAGATGGTGCTGCCCAGTGCTGGACTGTAAGCTAAGCACACTCCAGTGCCGCGAGCTAAACAAACCTGTCTACTTTATACGGTTCTCAGCTTCAGGTATTTTGTTGTAGAAACAAAACAGACAAATGCAAAAAGAATTAAGACTAAATGACATCATAAGAGTGGGGTCCTAGATGCATATGAGATGGCCATCTTTAGACAAGGAGAAAGAGACACCAAAGGCACAGAGGATGGCCCCGAGAAGACACAGCAAGAAGGCAGCCTCTCTGCTCAAAGAGAAAAGTGCAGGAGGAGCAGCCCTGCCATACCTTGGCTCGAGCCCCCTCTGGCACTGTGAGAAGCCGGTGTCTGCTCAGGTGGCGCAGTCTGTGGGGCTCGGCCTGGACAGTGCCGGTGCAGCCTGGTGTTTTGAACAGGGCAGGGCGCAGCCAGTGAGGGACACCTTTCTGCCAGCCTCCCGCACTCAGCTCACAGCCCTGCGCCCCTCCACATCCGGGCTGGCAGGACGGGGTCCCTCCAAGCCCACCCCCAAGTCGAGCTGCTTGCGGCCCCACCCTGACCACAACATCTGTTCATCTGCAAAACCCCCAGCTCCAATTTGGGGGCCCCCATTTTCCCCCTACCTCTAGAAAGTAGATCTACTTAATAAATTTCACCCACAGGAAATTAGGACCCCGGTGTGGAATTGAGCACATGGTGACAAACCAAACGAGGAAGCGAAGGCCATTTGCTCAGAGCTTGCTTCAGCAGGGATCCGCCCCCCTCACTGGCGTCCTGGAGAACACTCAGGCGGGCAGAGCAGTGGGAGCGATGTGCAGAGAGCCTTCCTGTCGCCAGACACCATGCCCCGTCCCACACCCTCACGGTGGAGGGCACAGTGCCAGAGGGAAGGGGACAGGGCCAGACCCAGTGCCCAAGACCTCAGTCCCATGCCACCCAGACTCACCACATGGGTGCTGTGCGGGTCCACCAGGCATCTTGTAACCCAGGCTTGACAGATCAGGGCTTACTGTCTCACCCGGGGCTGAGGGCAGCAGCTCACTGGGGCAGCGCCTCCCATGGGACCGGCTAAGGCGCGTATTTGCTCTTCTCGGACTGGTAGCGGGGCCGATGGTCGGGGAAGCTGGCAGCTGCTGATCCAGTCCCGGCAGTTGGGCTGACTGCCACAGCGTGCTGCTTGCTAGGGTCCGTGGCTGGCAGCCACAGACAGCCAGGTGACGTCCGGCTGAGGGCCACAGCAGCCTGAGCCCTGGTCGATGCAGACCTCGGGTTGTTCTGTCATCACAGGTGGGCTGGGCACTGTCTGTCGGTATGAAATGGGGTTCGAAGGCTGCAGACATTCACAGACCAAGACCAAGACCCTACGTAACTTGTCATGTCTTTATTTGTCAGTAATTTTTTTGTCAGATGATTAGAAGAAAGTGGACATTTGAACAATAATTCTTGCCCAACCTCCTTATTGTCTGGGACTAGAGAAACCAAATCGAGGAAAGTTTCATGCTGAACCTGTGGATGGATAGGTGTCCAGGCAACTACTTTCTCAACTTTTTTTTTTTTTGAGACAAGGTCTCCTTATGTAGCCCAACTGGCCTTGAACTCAAGGCAATCTTCCTGCCTCAGCTTTCTTTTTTTCTCAACTTTTCTCAACTTTTTTTTTTTTTGAGACAAGGTCTCCTTATGTAGCCCAACTGGCCTTGAACTCAAGGCAATCTTCCTGCCTCAGCCTCCAGAGTGCTGGATTACAGGCATGCACTAGCGCGCCTGGCTTCGATTTTACACATGTCAGGAAACTGTGGGGAGGCTGGTAGAGTGCTTGCCTAGTGGCATGCTTGAAGCCCTGGGTTTGTACCAGGAAAGAAAAAGGAGGATTTGGGGGTGGGGGTGGGGGTTTGGAGAAAGTTGGGGGAAATGCTGAATTGGAGTTTTATTTAAATACACATTGACCAAACTACAGGGCATGAATTGTCAGTTTGAACTGCATAAAATGCACAGCTCATTTTCATCTCTGTATTTACATTTCCTTTGCACCCAGCGGTGCCCGCTGGTCAGGGACAGCTGAGCTTCCTCCACGCGCACAGCACCGTCACTGGGCGCTGGGCAGGAGGCCGCCCTGCCGGAGGACAGCCTGGGAGCCCTGTGCCAGCCGTGCCCATGCCCGCCTCTGGGCTGGAATCGCTCGTGTGGTTGCAGCCCATCCACACGCACCCGAGTGCTCACAGGGCCTTGATTTGTTCTGAGAGCCTCTTAAGGAATCTGGCTCTCACCCCGCCGTTGTCCTGGTCCTGAGGTCAAGGGGGAATCTCCCAGGCCCAGCCTCTCTCTGGACCCCGCTGCGCGTCCTGCAGCAGCAGCCAGAGGCCCCATTAAGACAGAGCCAGGCCGGCGAGGGTCGGTGCTCAGCGCTCTCGGAGGAAAAGCCAAGATTGGACCTTGGACCCAGCGGGCAGGCGGGGAGGCGCCGTCCACCGCGCGGTCCGTGTGCGCTGCTCGGGCTCCGCCAGTGGACACAAACAGCCACGGTGCCCACACGGAGGCCGGGCACCCAGGCTTCCCCTCGGAGCAAGTGTCCCAGCTAGGAAGCCCTCGGAGGACGTGTCCAGCTGGCGTCTGACCTCAGGGCCACCTGAGCCTTGGCAAAAACAGCGTCACGCGTGGGTTTGTGCCACTGCACTGTAACAAGACCAGGTGCGACCCCATTCTGTCGGAGAGAGTCCCGTCCGTGTGTGCGTGTGGGTGACGCCGTACAGAAATGCCAAAGTGTGGGTTTTAATTTGTTTTTTGCCCTCACGCTATGCAAGAGCTCTACCGACTCCCCCACTTCCTGCGCGCCGGCCCCGCCCTTCCTCTCCCGGCCACCTCGCCCCCGTCCTGCGTGGCGACCCGCGTGCCCTCCTTGTCACCTCTGCCTCCCTCCTGCTCGCGCGCCGTCACACCAGCACGCAGATGTGCGCCTGGGGCGTGGGGGGCCTCGCTTCTCGGAGCGGGGCCCGCGGCGCACACGGCCCTGCGGCGGGGCT